AGGGATATCTTTGTATCCGGCATGGGTCAGTTCGCCGATGAAACTGAGAGAGGAGTGTCGGGGGAATTTCCTAATCCAAGCCTCCCCTTCTTCCTTCGGGATATCCGAAAACACAAGAGCCGCCGATGCTTCGACTGGATCATGATACATCCAGCCGTTTTCCTGTTTGATGGTGTGCTGTTAGCCGAGGGGGCTTCGATGCAACGAGGTCCAGCATTGGATGCAAACCCACATCAATCTTCAGGTCCAACTGCTGCTCCTGGGGCACGGTCGCCAAAACATCTTTCGCTGTCTGCCCCACGGCTGGCACCAGACAGGTCATATACGCCAGATTCACAATTCCACCCTCCTTGCCCTCTTTCTGCCTCTCTCCCTTGCTCAGCCCCTTCGTGCTCTGCGTCACAGGTACGCCTCCGTACGAGTGAGCAAGAAGAATCACGTCCTTCCCTTGATTTGCGAGTTTCTCGACCTCCCCGGCAATGAAGGCGGCGTCGTCGTACATGGTTGGTGGTGCCACTCCTTCCCGAGCTTTTCCGCTCGCAGGGCCAACGCTGGGCTTATGGAGGCCTTGAATTTCGTAACCTTTCTCGGCCACAGCATTTATGACCGGCTCATAGAACTCGGGCAAGGCGAATGAGCCTGGAACGAGGAGGATTGACGGCTTAGGCATTCTGATTGAGTTTGCAAAGTGGTCTGTGTGCACAAAGCAGCGTTCGAAATTCCGTGTCCTGGTGTACCTGTGTGAGATTTGGAACCTAGAGCCCACTGCCGGTCGGTGCGACGACATTCTCCAGACGACAGGCCTTCATTTATATTGTTACATCTTCCAACTCTTCGTCCGAACGGACGACATGCCACCCATGAGCTTGACCTTGATTTCTAATTACTGACCTAGCTTCTGACCTATACGATATAAACTTATATCTGCTTCCTGCCCACCTAAAGGCCTCGGAGCTTCTTCTGACCGTCAGAAAAGCGGGCCACTAGGCCAGCGCCCAACCCAATTGGTCTAGTTCAATGGACGGCCGGGCCTGAATTCGGGGGCTGAATTCGTGGCCTGATTCCGAGTATCAAAAAGGACGCTTTCGTCGTTTCCAAAATTGTTGCCAGTATCACAGCTGCTATCTGGCACCTCCAGATCCAATAGCTTTAGCTTCACAATATTTTCTGACTATGAGGACAAGATACTGATGCGTCTTGTATTAAGTATTGACTGCAAGGTAGGATGTGTACGAAATGCTGCAGTGGGATCGGCAAAGAGAAGGATCCCCGCATGCACAACATAGGCTTTGCTTGTTGTCGGCAACATGTTCGATTTTCATTGCACGAGTATCAGGGGGCGAGCCAAAGGACTCGTGCCCTTTTGAGGCCTTCTGATGCAACGTGAGATTTCCGTGGGCAGACAGGTTGATGACAAGGCCCCAGTTACTCTCGGGCGGCAACTTTGTTCTCTCTGCGCCGAGCTGCACCTCTCCGGTCTATACTAAAACTATCTCCTGTGAGCTATAATGGCTGTCGTCACTACTGAGCTGAGTTCGGGTTGGCAATGCAGGCAATCCGATGATGGCTCTGTGGACGCATGGCTTCCTGTGTCGAAGGTTCCAACCACAACCCATCTTGTTCTACAAGAAAATGCGAGGTATGCTTGAACAAAGAACAGGCGTCTGGTTACTGCAAGCGATCCAAACTCATACTTTTCCCTCTGCTAGGATTCCGGACCCCTTCATCGACATGAATGAACTGGCCGTGCGGTGGGTCGCAGAGAAGCGGTGGACCTACAAAACGACTTTCCCCTCTCCGACAAATAGACAGCCTGACGCAAGGACGGACTTGGTGTTTGAAGGCCTTGACACATTCGCCACGGTAACTTTCAACGGCCACAAGATCCTCGAAGCAGACAATATGTTTCTCGAGTACCGCGTTGACGTCACGGACTTTCTCCTAAATCCCTCTTCCGACAGTGTCCTAGCCGGGCCAAATGTTCTGGAAATCGTCTTTGACTCGGCCCTCCTCCGTGGCCGTAACCTCGTCAAACGGCACTCACATGAACACAACTTCATCGCCCATCAGACCGAGTCGAGTAGAATACCCGTGCGGAAAGCACAGTGCCACTGGGGATGGGACTGGGGTCCTATCCTGATCACTTCGGGGCCATGGAAGCCCGTTTTGCTGCAGACATATGTTGTTGGAATTGATGATGTCTGGTTTCAAGAAGAGGTGAGTGAGGATCTGAAGGCCGTGGAAGGGAAGTTATTCTCCCGTGTAGAATGCGGAAAGCGAAAGATGCAGGAGGGGAGGGTCGTCGAGTTATCATTATCTCTTGACGGTAAGGACCTGCTCGAGTTACGGGCCCCCATCGACAACGACGGCGTCGCTACCGCCGATTTTCGGCTCGAGCACCCTGCCCTCTGGTATCCTCGTGGTTATGGCAAACAGTGCCTTTACGAGCTCAAAGCAACACTACCTACGAAGAGCTCCCATCCTATTTCCAAGTCCAAGATGATTGGGTTCCGACGGTGCGAACTCATACAGGAACCGGATGAGTTTGGAAAATCATTCTATTTCCGCATCAATAATGTCGATGTCTTCGCGGGCGGCTCTTGCTGGATTCCTGCGGATAGCTTCATCCCAAGAACCGGGGAGGATGGATATAGGAAGTGGATGGAACTGATGATTGAAGGTAACCAGATCATGACAAGGTACGATGCCGAATTGGTCTTGAACTCCAGAATATTCAATTATCACTTTTCGCCTCCTCTTCAATTTGTTGTTTACTCAAATTATTCAGACTTGCTGACCGCGTCCCAGAATCTGGGGTGGGGGCATCTACGAAGACGACTCGTTCTACAATGCCTGTGACTCCCTGGGCATCCTTGTCTGGCAGGACTTCTGCTTCGCCTGCGCTAGTTACCCAACCTACCCGTCTTTTCTCTCCCAAGTTGAACAAGAAGCGCGATTCAACGTCCGACGTCTTCGCTCCCACCCCTCGCTGGCCATCTGGGCGGGGAACAACGAAGACTATCAGATCCAGGAGAAACATAACCTGGAATACGACTATGAAGGCGACAAGGATCCGCAGTCGTGGCTCAAGACCAGCTTCCCCGCGAGGTATATCTACGAGTACCTTTTGCCGAAGGTTGTGCAGGAGGAGAGCCCAGGCGCAGTATATCATCCAAGCAGCCCTTGGGGCGATGGGAAAAAGACATGGGATCCCACTGTGGGAGATATCCATCAGTGGAATGGTGAGTGTTAACCCAAAGCAAGGCGTCCTCTCTTCTGCTCTTTCCTTGTGGTCCTTTTCTTCTACATCCAGAAATTGCGTTGACACATATATTGTCCCAATTTTCTAGTCTGGCACGGCTCTATGCGCCGGTACCAAGAGCTTTCCACTATAGGCGGGCGCTTCGTGAGCGAATTTGGGATGGAAGCGTACCCACACGTCTCGACCATTGTCTCTGCCATCGCCACGGATCCGAAGCAACAGTACCCCGGCAGCATGACCATGGACTACCACAACCGGGCGGTTGACCACGAACGACGCCTCCTCACGTACGTCGCCGAGAACTTCCAGATCAAATACGACCTGCCGAGCTTCACGCACCTGACCCAGGTCATGCAGTCCGATGCCGTGGGCTTCGCGTACCGCTCGTGGCGCCGCAGATGGGGCACACCCTCAAAGGGGCAGGAGAAGAGGAAATGCGGCGGCGTTCTCGTCTGGCAGTTCAACGACACCTGGCCGACCATGTCGTGGGCAGTGGTGGACTACTACCGCGTAAAAAAGCCTTCGTTCTACGCGATCAAGCGCTCCCTAAAGCCGCTGGCCGTGGGCGTGAGCAGGCCGTTTCACGAGTGGACCTCCGGCCACGTGGACCCGACTGGGGCGATCAGGGAGAACAAATTTGATCTCTGGGTCTGCAGTTCGCGGATAGGCGAGGATGTCAAGGCGGAGGTAGTTGTGCGGGCCATTTCAATCAAAACTGGGCGCGATGTGGTCGATCCGATCAGGAAGGACGCCGTCACGATCCAGGCGAACGGCACGACCGAGATACTCCAAGGAGGCGAGATATCCTTGGCCTCCGCCTCCGCCACTCGTGATCCTGATCCGACGACTGGCATGTCATTGTTCGATCTCCGCGCCTGGGATCCCTACGTCATCCACGCCTCGCTGCTAGTCGACGGCCGCGTCGTCAGCACCGACACTGGTTGGCCCCAGCCGATCAAGTACCTCGACTTTGCCGCCCCGAGGGACGTGAAGGTCCAACTCTCCACCGCCGAGGGGAAGGACAGAGGAGTGACAACAGCCACAGTCACAGTCTCGGCGGAGAAGCCCGTGCACGGCTTCGTGTTCCGCGAGGGCAGAGACGGGGCCACCTTCAGCGACAATGGATTCGACGTCGTGCCTGGGGAAGATGTTGTCGTCGAGGTCGTCGGCGGTGGGACAAGTCCCGAGAAGACGCTCCGGTGGACTTATATCGGAGCGGAGAGTGCATCTATTGGTCTTTGATTCTTGAATGAGAAGGGTACGCGGGGCGAGAGGGCAGGTAGGGAAGAAAGACGGAAAGATGGAAAAGAAGAACCTCGGCGGATGGACAAACTTAGTTTCTTGAACCTCCTGCACCCGATCCCGCCGATCGAGAATATGTAATGATGAAGGACTTACGGGGTACACAAGGTGGGAAGGGGCCGGGCCACTCATTGACTGCAACATGAAATATGTCAAGTAACTTGTCGCTGAAAGTGGGAAGACTGAAAGTGGGCCCGACTTCTGGGAAAGCTCATATGTTGGCTTTTTGAGTCTTTATGTTGAGGCTGTCTTGTTTCGTGCAGGCAGCTATTACCCAGCACAGAACCTACCTTAGCAGAGGTACGTAGTCTGCAGGAGCTAACCTGACATGACCTGACCAATCTCTGTATGTAGGCCATGCAGCCTAGCCTCTCTATGTAGCCTCATACTGCGCATACAACTTTTCCTTGGGGGATTGGGATGCCTAGGGATGTTATCATTTTTCGTAGTCGTCGTCGTCGTCGTCGCCGTCTCTCAAATTGACCCGGGCATCTTCTCTCCGAAGGTCTAAACTCCAACACAACACACACACGTGTAGATCAGCGATCTGAAGAACAATCAACAACCCCCATTGCCCATTTTCAACTCGCCTTTTTGGGGGTGTTTTTTTTTGGAGGGGGAGACGCGGTTTCATGCTGGCGGGTGAGAGGGCTAACACAACCTTTAATGGCAGAGGAGATATGTACATACCTTTGTCTTGTACTGGATGGTTCCTTCAAACGGCTTCTCCCAGCTTTGCCGCTTTGAGGCGAACGACTCCCATTCCGGGACTGGGAGTTTGGGGTACTGTCATATCCACCACCACCAATAACAGTCAGATCAGGCATCAAGCATTCATCACTCAGCAGTTTCGTCGACTATGGAAGAAGATAGAGGTGATGGTGGGTTCGCTGGGCGCTCAGGCCGCACCACACTCACCCAGCGCAAGAGGGGAGTTACAAAGAGATATATGTACGTATGCTACCTACCAGTCCCAATTTCAAAACAATCTTGCCCTTGTACAGAGGCGTGATGCTCATGATGGGCACGCCGCACGTTTGGCAGAAATACCTAGCAAGCGTTGCATTAGTCGACCTTCCGTTGGCACAGGCTGGTCGCAAGGAAACGGGGTCCCTACCGCTGCACCGGGGTTCCGCTGAGTGTCTCCGGATCCTGGGATTGTGTGTAATCTTGTCAGACCGGGGTAATTTGGGGGAGCGGGAGCTGATGACGGGAATGGAACGAACAGAGTACATCTTGATATTGTCTTTACCCTTAGGAAACTCGACTTTCTCTTCCTCGATTGTCAAGTTGACGCCGAATCTGTGTAGCCCCAAACCCCAGAGCTCAGTCAGCGGCTGGTACACTCGGTGCATCGTAACCAAATGCACGCCATAGAGATTATCGGCGCTGTTCTTGTGCGGATGGGGTTCTTCCAAAGAGAATTGGGGTATCAGACGTACATGCCGCCGGCGACTTTGCGGCAGTTGGCACAGTGGCATATGTGACCACGGCGCTGTTCGCCGAAGAGGTTGTCATCGCTGACCTTGACAGCCACAGCTGGCCCAGCCGCGAGTTAGTCATCAATTCAGTTACAATATTCTCACCAGGCAGACGTCGATATGGGGAAAGAGCATGACAAGCCCCATCACTACCTTTGCAGAGGCATTCTCCTTCCATCTTGTCGACAAGTTGTACCAGATTCGCCGCTGCTGTTACAAAATGCTCAGATAAAGAAGTTAACCAGGATTCAGACTTGAACGTTCTTTCGGTTTGTATTCCACAGTTGGTTTTTGAGTCTGCCTCGAAGCCGTCCCAATTTCTTGCGATGCGGGGAGAGTGGCTTGGGCTCTAACGAGAAGATGCGCTAGATTCGGCAAGCGAACGGCGGAGGGGGCATCGAGGCGGGGTTTCCAAAAGGCAATGTCCACGTCATCGATATGTAGCATGAAAGAAGTTGTGAATTGTCCAAAGCCCAGGAGCCCGCGGGGTGCTTCTGAAGATCAGAAAATCAAAGCCACCAAAGGCTCAGATGATACGCTTGTCACCCTACCTAAGCGGCAGGCACTTGAGGTCCTTCGCTAGCCCACCAGCCTGAGTGCACTCACTTTCGCTTCCCCCCCCCCCCCCCCCCTCGCTCACGGTCCGGACCAAGAAACGGGAGCCTCCTTCTGGGCAACAATGGGCCATGGGATACTTCTACGGTTCCATTGAGAATGCGAGACAGACCAGGTTGGCAGGTGAACGACGTGCCAGACTAGGCTAAGTGCACGCAGACGCTGAGATATGCCCAAGGAACTATTGCCCAGGCCGGCGGAGAGGCTGGTGACTGCACCACCACCCGCGAACCCCAGTTCGAGATCTGGTTGGCATGGGTATCTTCGAGGAAGCAACCAGTGTTCAATGGGTATTGATTCACCAGACTGCACATACTGTCGCTCGACTTCTAAACTGTCTTGAGGGAGCCCTGGGCAGCAAATCTTGGGAAGCTATCAACACTTACACTACAAGCAAGGCTGCATATTTGCTTGTAACCTGGAACGACGAATTAAATTCCCTCGTTGCTGCTGCTACGACAGTCTAGAAGGAGATTCACGGACAAGGTCCTCGGAGTGATGGGGCGGTACCTCCATGGTGTGCTGGTACAGCCTCCAAACAGATGGCAACTCCGAATAACTTTCGACTGGGTGATCGTAGATGGCCTCGGTCTTAGGTCAACTTCGGAGCCGTGATCCTGCTTCTCATGCGTTCTAGACGGTGATTACCAAAGTCGTTTGTCATGAAAATCGTAGAGAGCAGTCCTCGGGAAAGGACTTTCCAGAATGCGGGCACTTCCGAGAGTCCTACCGAATATCGAGGTCCATGTTTCCGAGAGGCCATATGGCCCTGTCTCGGAGATAGCCATATGACGTCGTACTTGTTGTCGCCCTGGGCCCAATGAGGGGAAACCATATTCAATTTTCAAAGGACGAGAGGAGGTCCAGGAGGTCTTATCCCGAAGTAGTCATGCAAAGCACTGCTAAAAGTGTTCAGACCGTTCTGGCCTGAAGAACAAGACTTTAATGTTGCTGGGGTGAGCAAAGTCATTGCCGATGATATTTTGCAGCTCTGCGGGGAAAGTTTGCACACAAGAAAACGAATCACTCCACTGGTGTGCAGGTGGTCTTGTAGCATCATCGGCGATTCGTTGTTTCTTGCGGGGTGCTGGTCTCAACTTTGCAGAAGAATCCGCAAGGTTTGAGGGGTACATGTCTGGTGATGGAGGGAGTTAAAAGGGAGTTAAAAGGGAGCAGATTGCATGTGCAAACCGGCACCTTGCCGATCGTCCCAACTTGTACCTGGACAAAGGAACTTTGGCAGCCCCATAATCCATCAAGACAACACTTTCGTCGTTAGTCTCATAATGTCGGTCGTCAGTCATGTTGTGAGCAGCCTTACGGGCTCCCACCACGAGTATGACCTCGTCGTAGTGGGGAGTGGATTTGCAGTAGGTGACTGTAGAATATGTCCTGAATAAACGGTGCTGACCATTTGCAGGGTTCCATGACCACATTGAACTTCCTCGAGGAATGTAAAAAGATTGGTAAAAGGGGGAAAGTTGCATTGATCGAGGCTGGTAAAGAAGGAGAGCGATGTGGTGCAAGCAGGTCTGCTTTGAAAACCCGCCAAGTGGCGCCATTAATTGAAAGATATATAGGTGGACAATGGCATACCTTCGACTGGACAAAGGTATGTGCTGAGTCCCACCAGAAAGTTCCGTCAATGCTAAACGCTTCAGATAACAAGTTTGACACGGATTGGAAGCATGAAATGAAGGTGAGTAAAGAGTTCTGCTGATGACGATTCTGGCTGAATAGATGTAGCGCGTCAGGTAAGTCGACAACTTCAGCTGTTAAGCTCCGATATTGACAAGGCCAGCGAGGGGTTGGCTGATCAGGAATACTGCGCAAAAATGGAGCAAGAAGTTCCAATAACTGCTCAATATCTACTCGACCGTTAGTTGACCGACTGTGAGATTGCCCGAGCAAGGTACTGACCGATCGTAGACGGAGTCAAACTCAACCATCACGACGAGAAGAATGTCCTACTCGAATTCAATACCAGTAAGATATTTTCCATGGATCAAATTCCGGCCTATGTATTGACAATCTCCCAGACCAGCACTTCGTGTTTCCAGAGGTAAGCCGGGTCGTCGGCGGAATTGCATAGATTTGCTCTAACTGGAAGGACAGGGTGGTGGGCATGCAATTATCAATGCCCTGTTCGACCATATCCGTAAATTCGACAATGTGACGATAATGTGGCAGACGCAAGCAGAGCAGCTGCTGACCCACGATGATGGGAGTGTCTGTGGCGTCAGAGTTCGGAAGGCGGACGGACACATGACGAAGGTCCACGGCAAGAAAGTCATGTTGGCATGCGGTGGGTTCGAAGGTAATCGTGAAATGTAAGGACAGAGACCTTCTAGACAGTGCCGTGGCTGACAAGAGCTAGGTTGGGCAAGTATGTTGGACCGAGGACAGAGCACCTTGAGCTCATTGCACCTGGCCTCAAGTACAATACCGGGTTCGGCCTGAAGATGGGATTGGAAGTTGGTGCTGCTGTTGCGGGTTCAATGAGTGGCATGCATGCAAGCGTTTTCTTTCCTGACGCTGAAGGTCCATACTGACGCTGGGTGAAAGTGTGAACTCGTCGACACCAGAGCCAAGAAGCCTGATGCTGTGATCTGGGGCCACAATTACGGTATTGTTGTGAATGAGTACGGTCGCTCCTCTCAAGTCATGCTCGACGGCTGCTGACGGAATCTAGGCATTGCAAGCGTTTTTATGATGAGGGCAAACGACAGTGAGCATCATCGCATTTCCAAGTGGGTATAGTCACTGACACGCACAGCCTCTTTGCGACGTTCGAAATGATTGCCCTTGAGACTTGGCGAGGTAAGTCATTTCAAGCGGAATCCGCGCAGTGGCTGACACGAGCAGACCAGAATCAGAAATCATACTTGTATGTTCGACTTGCGGCGCGGTGACACCTTACTGATTGAGTTTCAGTGTCACCGACAGTGCCATCATGGACCGTTTCCGACCAGGCTGGGTGTATGATACCACTGACCAGGAGCCAGAGAAGAGCGACACCATTGAGGGCTTGGCTGAAAAGCTGGGACTTGATCCGAAAGAATTGAAGAAGACTGTGGATGAGTATAACGCGGCGTGAGTCTTCCAGATAGAAATCAGTGGACGTCGCTTAACCAGCATAGCATCAACGATAAGGAGTTCAACCTGTTGGCGCTTGACGGCAAGAGGACACACGGGTAGGGACATGACGAATGCCTTAAAGATATGATGGCTGATGCTTTCGAAGATTGTCGCCCGACAAGACCAACTGGGCTAACCCAATCAATAAGCCCCCTTATTACGGGTAAGTGTTTCAGAGCAAATGGACAGTTTTGATCAAAAGCTGATGGTCGTTAGGTATCCAATGAAAGGTGACCTCAATCGTGATTGGAGATATTGACCCTACGCTGACATGTTCCAGCACAACTTACCTTCACTTATGGTGGACTCAAGTGCGATCTTGATTCGAGGGTGCTTGCCACAACAGGAGTTCCTATTCCAGGTAAGAGACGAAGCTGAGTATGGGGTCTGTCTGGCTGACCATGTACAGGACTGTACTGTGCTGGAGAGTTGAGCGGTTTGTTCTATAACGAGGTAAGCTAATCCTTTCAAACCTGTAGACATGGCGCTAACCTAGCTGCAGTGTAAGTCCATTCCTGTTCCTTCGCCCCAGACCTCAGTCTGTAGAACCACACGTATAGATACCCTCCGCATGTTCTGTGAGAAGCCGATTCGCAGATTCACAGAAGCTGAATACCATGCTAGATCCGCCCGCAACAAGCGTGCTCCGCTCTCTCACTTTTGGTCGCCTTGCTGGGCGCGACGCTGCTCACGCTCTCTGAAAGGAAAGGATGAGAGAGGCATCGATGTCCTTGATAGGGTAATTAACTTGAAAATTTGTGGAAAGCAGAAAAGTGATCGCAGGATGATAGGGAGAGCAGACAGTTCAAAAAAATATGAATGATACCGGCGAAATTTCGGGAGCGGACCGAGTACGAAAAAAGCCTCGCTACACCTGCCTTTGAGGATCATAGAGGACCTCAGCCTTGCGCAGCCTTGTCAACGATGTGACCTTGAGTGTCGGGCGGGGCATCTTTTCTACTTAGGAGGGAGTCAGCCATAGTCTTATTATCCACTTTCTCACATTGATGATGGGTACATATAATGAAGCCGACAGACTTGTGACTCTGCTGGAGCAGTGTCATGGAGGAGCTCAACTCCCTATTTCGTAGGCTGTGACCATGTACTGGGTCGTAGTGACCGGGATAGTGTGGGCGGGAATAAGTAGTCGTCAAGCGAACCGAGCGAGGAAGAAACAAAAACATCTCTCCTGGGATTTTCTCACAAGCCTTGTGTGTTTGCTACTCGGAACTCGGGGTTCAATCTGCAACGATACGTAATCATATTTCCTTTTTTAAGTGGAAAAGCTACAAACCGTTTCTTCCTTTGTTTAGAGATATTGCGTGTGACTAGCCCAGGTGATGCTCCCCGTTGTCGCTTAACTTATCACCTCTCGGCAAGTTCAAATAATACTGGGTTCATACCCCCTCCTTCAACATCACACTATTCATCATCTTCAAACCGCCTTACATACAGCATCGAGCTCACTTGGCCGGTAGATCATCGTTCCATCAGCTTCAGCAATAAGCTGTCCGCGGTTAACAGAGTTCGACGGATCCTCAAGCCGACGGCTTCTTCGCCTCGCCAAAAGCACCACTCCCACAAGCAGGCCAAGAAGAGCTAGTCCGACACCAACCCCGATACCTGCTTTCTCTCCAGCACTGAGATTCAACCACACTGAATGTGGCGGCGTGGATGTCCAAGTCTGAGCTGGGAGATTCTTGTTGGAGATCATAGTAAAATTCCCATTCCGTATCACAGGTGTCATTGGGTCAGAAGACATGCTGTCTGCAGGTAATTCTTCGGGAAGCTCTTCAGACCTGTATGGGCCAAGTGAAAACCAACAGCGGACAGGATATGCTATGACGTGGGTTCGAAGTGTCAAGCCGAGTTCGTGGAAAAGATAATAGCCCTCTGGAGGACCTGAGCAAAGCTTAGCAGGATGCAGAAAAAGACGTGGGAGTTGGGATCGGCGACCCACAAGGCGAGCAAGAAGGACCTCCTGCCATGACGTGGACAGGATCACCATCAACATCCTCAATACCAGGCCGGGGCCAACAATTAGCTGACAGGTTGACACCTCTGGCCCACAACAACACGTAGGAAACTTGGATACTGTCCGGGACGTTGTATATCTCCCTACTGGCTGGCGGAAAGAGGATCGCTCAAGCTGAGAAAGTCCGTCACCGACGACGTCAACCGAGTAGCGAACGAAGAGAACCGTTAGGCACACCGCAAGAGATGCCATTTTGTGGCTGAAGGGTCGAAGGAACACGAGAAGGTGAGTGAGCTGTCAAGGTTTACGGCGGTTTCTGGAACGTGAGGCACAGCCTAATTCCGACATCACTTGTAAAACAGAAGCGAGTCATGGAACGTAAATAAAGCAGATCCTTGTATCACGTTCAACTTGCATGAGCAGTTCTTAGTCAGGTGCCGCAGCGAAGGAGGCCGCAGCGAAGCAGAGTGCTCGGATGTCGCCGTGTTGTGTGAGGACTGTGATATTAGTAGTGGTCATGTCTCGGAATGTTGCAAGACCTTGTGAGTTGATTCTGTAAGACCTCTTCTCCCTGCATGCCCCCGGTTGAGAGCAGCGTGGATAAATCAACCGTCTGCGGGAAAGATAGAGATACTGCAGTTATTCGTAGAAGCGATCATTCCCAACAGCAGTGAGTCAAAGAAGGATATGAACTGATTGGAGAAAGCCGCAGCCCGCTAGGTAGTTATCATTCATATCTAATTTTTGCCTATTGGTTGAAAAAAATCCCGCGGTCATGTCATTCATGACTTCGTCCTCGAGATGAAAGGGTGCTTCAATGCGTCGTTGGGCGTGATGCGCTTCTCCGGTCGCAAGTCCAAACACTTATCCAGTAGATCCACAAACAAATCCAGCTCTCTCCGCTCCTGCTCATTCATTCGCTTGTCCTTTGGAATCAGTCGGGACCTCAGATCTCTGACAGGTTTTGGCTTGATGTCTATCACTTTCACTATTGTCCGACCTGTGACCTTGTCTGTTTCTTGAGCTCGGAAGTTGAGCAGGTCATCAAAGTAATCATACGTCAAGGCACCGCGCCTGAGAAGCTTGTGGGGAAACCTTCCACGGCATTCCATGATTGCGCGAAGCATGCCATTGTTGTTGCGGCCTGTAAACAAAATCTTCCCCGTATAAAGCTCGAAAAGGGTGCATCCAACAGACCACATATCAATCCCATAGTCATAAGGAATACCAAGGATGACTTCAGGTGCCCGATAGAAGCGAGACACTAGGTATGGCGCTGTTGCATTCTCCGTGATGGGAGAGGCAGACCCCAAATCACAAATCTTCAGCGTACTCCTAACTTCGTTGACAAGGATGTTGTCTGGTTTCAGATCAGCGTGTATATATTGACATTTTTTCAGCAAGCTCAGTCCCAGAAAAAGTTGCTGTGCGTATGCTCGAATAGCCTTGATATTGATACCCACGTCTCTGCCGAACTTTTTGAGCACCTCCCGGAGGTTCATGGAAAGATTTTCGAAAACCATACAAAGGTGTCCTTTATGATCGAAAGATCGCTGAAGGCGAATGATGTGTTTCTTGTCTTCTGGATCATTGGCGGCGATGTCCTTGAGAATGTCGATTTCCTTGATTCCTGCTTTTCGCATGGTTTCGTTATTGCGGACAATTTTGATAGCGACCGGTTTGCCGGTTCGTCTATCAGTAGCTCTGACGACGGAAGAGAACATCCCTCTCCCAAGGTTTTGAGTGACATGGTAGCGGTCCTCAATTAGCTCACCAAGGATTGTAATGTAGTATCCTTCAGGATCGTCCCAGTTGTCCATGAGGTTGACATCCAAAGCTTGTGCAGTCTTTATCTCTGCTTTAGGTTTCATGGGAGCTTCGGCAAACATGTCGTCCTCATCATCCTCGTCGGCAAACATGTCGAACTCACCAGGCGCTTTGGAAGGAGGGAGAGAAGCTCTATCAGCATCTTTGGTTACTGCTTGATCTGCCTGCTCAAGAGATTTCTCGTCTTCCTTGAAAAGACGTTTTTCATGTCGTGCTCGTTCCTCCTCCATGTCCACAGTGGGATCATAATCGGCAGCTGAAGGGCCGTCTTCGGCTGGAGATCTTCTATCAGCGTTAGTCAGATCCGCGTCATTATCGAATTTGATTTCCGCAGGAGACTGTGGGGCAGAAAGGTCTCTCGGCGTCCGAGGCGAGGACGACACAGGTGATTCTGATGAAATCAGCATACGCTCGTGTCAAAAGGCAATACTGAACATACCTGATCGGCGCGGCGTTGTAGTATAGCTTTCTAGAGCAGGACTTGCCGGAGTGGATTCGGCCCCTAGATGAAGTGCTTGAACCAATAATGGCGGAGCTTGGCCACGGTATTTGTTCTTGATGGCTTCACGGCGTTTCCGCCGTTCTTCAATCAAAGCAGCCTCATCTACCACTCTGGACTCTTCGCCCTCCTCCACAATGGTGCCCACAGGAGCAGTGGTGGAATTATCGGGTCGATTCCCAGTCTGTTCCTGTCCCACGGCGTGAGATCCTGGCCGAGCCACCAAGTTAGAGGTGACTTTGTCAGCAGGAAGATCTCGTGAGGGCGCTGTTGGTGTTGTCCGTTGAGTATCTGAATGTTTGTAATTGGACTCAAACCTGCTACCTAGATCCCTGGTAACTGCAGAGCTGTTGTACATTGCATCCTCTTTACGACGAGAATGTCTGTATGGAGATCGACTCCTGCTGCGACTTCGAGAGTAGGTTCGCGATCTCTTTGAGCCTCTTTCTTCGTACGATCCGTGGCGTCGGTGCGGGTAAGTGCCATCTTCGTATCTCACAGCAAAAGTGCGCGTATCATTATGAGATCTATTTTTCGAATGGTCATAGTCGCGGGGACGCTTCTCGCCCTTGGGAGCTCGGTAAGGAGATCTTGAACGCGATCGATGTGATCTAGAGGTAGCGCTATACGGAATGGAAGATGGTCTGGAACGACGGTCAACCTTGCTGTTACTCTGGAAAGATGGTATGCTCTTTGCCTTCGATTCCGAGTCTGACGTCAAGATTTCGCCCTCAGACTGGCTCGGTGATCTTGAACCCATGATGAAGTGGTGGACTTGCAGGCCGGGAATGAGACCTAGCCTTCAGTTGAGATAAGAGCGTTAGCCAGCGGATCCTTAGACTGGAAAATTTGCAGTTGTAGAGCCCGACCGGTGTCGTCCCACCAAGTCCTCCTCAAATCGCCCCCGAGAGCATCTCACTAAGCAGGCGAGACACTGGTGACTCGGCTTGACTTGACTGAAGCGCCAGATGATAAGTGAGGAAGGAAACCAGACAAACGATGAAGTGACGTGGTTGCAAGAGATGGGGAAGTCGCCAGAAGCACCACCTAGAGAAATGAGCTGGTGCAGGCCAGATCGGCGCCAAGGCTCCCCGTCTTGCCGCCCTAGCATTGTGTAAATATTATGTACGCTTCATTGCCCTCGGTACACACTTCTCTATCGAGCAAGCTAGGTACAAAGCATCCGTATACAATACTATAAAATGTACGGACAGAAGTAATATGGGGAAAGAAACGCCACCACGTCGACTTCCCAGCCTGGTTGTACCTCCTGTTCTTTAACCCACCCGCCTCCCATTGAGGAAACTTCGGCGCTAAAGCGGCGTCACAAGTCAACTGCCTCGTTTTTGCTCTCAGTCTACTTGGTTTCTGTCTCAAGATTGCATATCTGTTCTTCATGGTTTCTCCGTGTAAGCCTTCTACCCGCGCAAAGAATTTTCCGGTAGTCCGAGGCAATGACCCGCAATGGAACCGATGAGACGTATCCAGCTGCACTCAAGACTGAGACGGTCCTGGCTGTACTCGAGATATCGACTCCGAAACTCCAACCACAGAGCATCGTCCGAGGAGCCCCTGGTTGCAGTACGTGGGAATTAGGTATCATTCTCCAAAAGGCACGAGCAGAGTGATCTTCCTCCCTCGCCATCCTCTCTATTCACTGCCACCGTGCCTCCCTCAGTAGCCCAGAGAGTTCCGCGACAGCCTTGTCCTATACGGCTCAAGTTGGGACCGCCGTCATCCAACCACTCGACATCGCCCATGTTTAGTAACTTGATGTATTTTTCACGGTGACACCGTTCTGATGTATGTTTGAGTGGCTTAAGGTGCTGAGAAATTGCTGAGCTTTTCAATCATCAGTTTGAAGTGGGATCGAAGACGGTCTTTGAAGATCCTCACCTGTACTAAAGAGAGTTTGTGGACTCCGTGGTATTCTCCACTAATCCGCCTGTTTTTCGCTCCTAGGTACCTTTCGAAGCTTGCGGTTGTTGCTAATTTTGTTTGATTTGACGTCTCTACAGTGAAGATTTGAAGGCTCAATTCATTTTAGACGTCAATGGTCTCGGCCGTCCTGTTTGGGCCCAGAAACTCAACCACATGAACTTACTCTGCCGGAACCCAATAATAATATCACCATGTCCACGACGGTGACAAACTCCACTCTCTTCCAAGCTTCCCTGGAAAATGGCAACTATTCCTCCCTCTTGCCTACACCTTACAGCCTATGCAGTTCAAAGTGCGAGTTCCGATGCTCCATCTTGTCTCGTGAACCACAAGGACCATCCGAGAAAACCGGTGGGAAAGCAATGAGCGATTCCGCAAAGAGCAATTCTCCAGCTAGAAAGCCTCAAGCGGAATGGTCAACAGGTTCGTTTCTATGCAGCAATGTGACAGACTGCAAGCAGCCCGACAAGGAAGCCTTGTCCTGCCCACAAGGCCGTACTTCGTGCCTAGATACCGGTAAGCGATTGCCTCTATCGACCAAGCTAGCCCCAGGGGATAACCCTCGATGCCTCCCTGCAGAATCCAGACTTCGACATAATAATAGGTGTTAAGTTATTACCTCTTCAGGGACAGATGCCGCATTCGGCTCCTACCGCTGGCGGACTGACTTCCCTTCCCAATCTTTCTCGCCATTTAGTAACAGCTCCCAAATTCCAGATCTCATTGACTACCATGTCTTCACTGCCTCCGAGTCTGCAGGCTTCCCAGTTGAAGGATACGGTAGAGGGGGTTGGTAGAATTCTTTCTGCTCAAGAGGCATCCTCAGGGGTTGAGAGAGTGCAAGTTGAGTCAACTTTTCTCTGATTGTGTCCACTAGAATTCAAGTAGTAAAATCCTTCTTTGTTGCTCTACTCGTCCTCGTACAATGGCGGTGACTCTGCTCTTTGTGACCATTGAAAAGATAGCTTACCATTCAAGGGGATCGAAGCCACCATGGCCTTGTACTTATCTGTGACCTGCCAAGCCAGTTCCTACGGCACTCCTTTTACTGAATCCGTTTTCAGTGATGAGATGCCTTTTCATTCTAGAGGTCGCTCGAACAGTCGGTTCTTTCAGTGTATTTGGCTGTACATGGGTCTCCGAAATGAAAAGAAAATAATCACTTCGCTGGGGCGCTACTCTTCCAATATTTCTGCGATATGAACCTGTGCCCTGTCGTATGGCCCGTCCACAAACCGTGGCTACAGTGTTATGACAACTGTTTAGTATCAAAGTGAGGGTAATGGCTTCCATGCCCTACTAAGAGTGTTGCTTCTGACGTAGATAAAACAGCTAAGGAAACGTGACAGGAGGGTGATTGCCAGCAGCTCGACTCCTGGTGGAAATCCAGATAAGGCCGTACAAGAGGTCGCGAAATGGAATGCGGTTTGCCTCGACAGTCATAGCAATCGCCATTTTGCGTGTCATCGCGTTGCGCAAAAGTCAGTCAGAAGCAGGATTCCCAAACGAGATGGTCAAACGAGCACCATTGAGAAGGTATATATATATCTCCTACTCCCAAATTCTTGCTCCGTCTCTCACCTTCCTCATAACCTGCAACAAGAAGCCTCGCGACAATACGATCAATAAAAATTTATTCCAGCCCGTTGAAAGTGCGCTCACAGGTAATCTTTGCCAGGTAGATCGAGAATCGTCCAACACTCACTCAAAGTTTCACCAAACTCCACAGCAAAGATGTCTTCTGGAATCAAGCTTCCTCCAAACTCTCCCGAGGGTAGTAGTCCACCTTCGTCGAACAAAATGCCTGGATCTGGAACCAATCCTCCTCCAAACACTCCAGACTCCGGCACTCCACCTTCGACGCCCAAGAAATGAGCGACCATCATCAACAACTAGCGCCAATCTCCCATTCAATGACGCATGGCCATCACTATCAGTCTCCATGATAGGTTGCGAACTTGCTTCTTATTGGATTCAACATCCTTGGGGGCACTGGGAATTCACAAAAGGATATGGCATGACTGGGCTGGGATCTTAGTATTTGGCAATTTTCTCTGCGGGCCTATTGGAGCCTTGAGCGGATGTGTTAGAGTTCAGGAAATCGAATGGTCGAACATCAAGAAACTAATGATCTTAGAAGATCTTTGGCCAAAGTGGCGAATCAATCAATTCAAGTAACAATGAATTTTCCGGGACTGCGTACTGCTGACGTGTATGACGTTTTCCCTGTCCGGTTGCAGAATACCGAGTTGCTAGATAGACTGCGACCTGTTTATAGGAGTCGTTGACAAAGGCTGTCTTTGCAGTTCAGGGAGTGGACTCCATGAAGAAAGGGTGGAGGAAGAAGTTCGAAGAGTCTACAGTCCATTCACCTTGGAAACCACTCAAAGAAGCCAAGATGTCACGTGCGTGGATTTTGTCAAGGCCGTTCTAGACTGCGGCAATTACTGAGTATTCTTCTTAAGTTCAACCACACCAGACATTGCAACATTTGCACGGTCGTGACGTGCAATTCTCGAATACTCGAATCCTCCTGAAGCAGCGGTGTGACCAGGACGGAATTAATTATGGGTGGACAAAGCAGAGAAGGTTGGTACATGCAAGGTTCGGAGCAGTCTGACCGGCTTCTGACATTTTTCGTAGGCGGCAAAGTCAAGCCACTGAAGGCTCCGAAGAAGGAGAAGAAAGAGTTGGACGAAGAGGACCTCGCATTCAAGGCCAAGCAGCAAGCAGGTACGGCGGAGTCGCACTCGTGATTTGCCTGGGCACAACTGAATCATTCCTACAGACGCAAAAGCCCGGAAAGAAATGGCCGACAAGGCAAAAGGGAAGGGGCCCTTGAACGCCGGCCAGCAAGGGATCAAGAAGAGCGGAAAGAAATAGACGGTGCGGACACACGGTTTCGCTATTTCGACGCCTGCAATGATTTGATGATTCGGGAGCGAGGCGCAGATGGGTTGAGCTTGTTGATTGACTAGAACAGCGATGAGAGGTCAAATTCTGAATTGACCGCACAATCCGTGTCGACAACCTTGCCCTGTGTATCCCCTATTGTTGTTGCTCCCCGTGCGATATCATGTCATATGTGACTTACTTCATGATGGGTTTTGGTAAGGCCAGCTATGCCGATTGCGGGAATGCAATACAGAGCCTTTTCTGAATGATGGGCACCCGCGTGGATTCGACTCAGATCATTTGCACAGACCCTATATCCTTTGGGAGTGGAGGCAATTCAGTTCTTTATCAAGGTGTGCACTAGGAGTCCATGGCGCAACTGAAGGCAGCAATGCAAACATGATATTGGCAGGCTTGGCGATAAACTTGAGTGTATCTGCCAAACTTGCCAGCCATACAATCACCATGTTGACACCCCTTAGGTGGATTCCGAAGCCTGAAACAATTGTTGTTGATGGGTGGTCTTGCTAGTTGCCAACGGCAAGCAGCTTTCCTCAACTCCGCCTGGTTCTTTCATCATTTTTGCTCTTTCCATTCTGGGCTTGATCTCTTCCTTTCATCCTAATCCTGCTCCATTTCCTCACTACATCCCCGGCGTCAAAGAGATCATTACCTCTTCGATATCCATACTCACTTATCCCTTGTTATGGATGATTTAGCAAGGCAACCACCTGAACCGCGCGAGGACCGTGGTCCTCGCATTCCTCCCGCAAAACTTTCAACGTGAGCAGATGGCATTGATCAGAAAACTCGCACATAAAATCGGAGCAATTTTAGGGCTAACAACCTAACCAACAGGATCAACCCCGAGCCGACAATCTCCCTCTTCTTCAGGCCCAACAAAACTTCCTCGTTAATCTCTGTTGATGGCAAGTTCTCCCGAGACGCCGCCATGATCTTCTGTGATCGCATTCGCCACGACCTGATGGAAAACAACAGCAAATCCTTCACTATTACCGGCGGCGACTTGAACGGTCTCAAGGAAGTTTTGGCTTGGATCAAACAGTGCGTTGCTGAACAGAGTATCGTCAAGTTCAGAGACGTAAGTTCCATCAGTTTCCTTTCCATAACAGAGGCCAACACATCTCTATAGCTCGACGACGACAAATCCGACCTCTTAACTTCCTACGCCAATGTTGTAATTTCTGCTTACTACCTGGGCATTCCGCCGCGCGACCTCTCCGACCATATCCTCAAACGAATGTTCGCCATCGCTCGTAAACAACTCATGAGCTGGGAGGAAGTCGAGTGGTTCTACACGACCCATTCGCTCGCGACACTCCCAGCCGAGAAAGAAAAAGCCATCCGTGAAGTGGCTGCCACTTCTGTTTTCTGGGCATGGTGGAATGGCAAGCTTGACGAGAACGAGACACCAGAGGAGATGATGACTTTGAGCGTGTTGAGGCAGGAGAACAGCAAATTGGATCGGGATTTGCATGATTGGTGTTGGAAGAACGAGGCAGAAGTGAGGCAGAAGTGGGAGGAGAAGGACAAACTCAAGAAGTCTGCTCGTCATGCGAATGGCCATCGCAGTGAAAGTGAATATGCGGTTGACGGCGCCAGTGAAGGTGGATATGGATCCGGATGGGATGAGCCAGCAAATGCGACTTCCACTACAGGAACCAATGGCTGGGATAACTTCAGCAGCGAAGAGCCCCTGGGCCCACCCAACTCAACGGTGACCTTGGACTCTAGCGTTGACATGGGATCTGATGGTAGGAACATTTCTGCTTTGCCTCCTCTAGACGAAATGGACGGGATCAACGGTGCCGCTGACTGGGCTGAGGAGGTCAGCGAGGTTACTCGGTTCGACAGCTCGCAGTGGTAGGACCATGGGTACCAATCCGGCGACAGTGCATATGCAGAAGCACCAGAACTGTGAGCAGCTGTTTTCAGCGGCCTGTTTGGGGAGACCCGGGACAGTACCGGCCGATCCGAATCGCTCGGCTTCATTTCCATAGATCTTGTGGTCCCCGGAATTGTCGGCGAAGGAAATGCACAGGCAAGGCAAGGAAAACCAACTCGGACTCGAGCATAATATTGTGTATGTATGACTGACTAGGCTGGTTCATGGAAGAGTACTATGCCACTGCAGGTGAAAAGTCTCTCCCTGTGTTTGTTCGAATAGGGGTGAATTCCTGCCAGTACATGTCGATGATCAGGAATAGCAAGAGAAACAATCATGCTGAACCAACAATTTTAATGGTTATTCTCATTCACTTTGCCATTTTCCCGGTCCTTCACTCTTGGCTCATGTGTTTCCCATTCACTATCCAAAACTGCAGCTCCGCGTGTACATATAAATTAGGTATTCACACTACTCATGCAACTTCGACCCTCCGCCAATGACAAAAAGAGCCTTCGTGTACTTGGAAATAGCGGTGTCGAAGATGAAATCCCTGTCGCCTGCCCTAATACCAAGATACGAGCCATGGTCGAACAGGGAGTCCGAAGGCTAGCCAAGATAAAATGCCACACAACGGACGCCTGCTTAGTGCTTGACAGCTCCCAAAACCCCAGTGAGAGTGTCAATCAGTCCGGAAACAAGGGACTCAATCTCAGACAAAGTGCTAGTGAGAGACACAGTGGATGCCAGACTCTCCACGCTCGACAGGAGGTTCTCGAGTGCGGCGATGACGCTGTTCAGCTCGCTGTCCAGAGTGCTGTCGACGTCCACGCTGCTAACAAGAGAGTTGACCTCGTCAACAACCCCTTCCAGGGTCGATACGACCGAGTCAAGCGTGCTGGCCAAATCGACTGATTCCACATCGGCGAGCAGGCCGTCGATGGTGGTGGTGAGGCCTTCGACAGTGCTAAGAACAGTAGGGAGGATGCCCGTCAGGGTGGTAGCTACTTCGTCAACAAGGTCACCGGCGATATCAGTGACGCTGGAGAGATCTTGTCGTTTGCGAACTGGGAGAGAAGGAACGATGCCCGAAAGGTCGAGGTCAAGGTCCTCGACAGGTTCGAGGGCTGTATCGACAAGCGTGGTGGCTGAGGTTTGACTTCAGTATGTGGATGTGGATGGGGAGAGCATCATTGACGTGAGGGACTTACGGTCCAGAGGCAGTGCCAAGGCGGAAGCGGTGAGGAAAAGGCTGGCGAAGATAGCTGTGCAACGCATTTTGAACGTGGTATTTGGTTTGTTGGAAAGACTTAAGCGTCAGTTAATGTGAAAGGCTTGGAATAGAGCTTTGTTCGAATGAGCGACTGGGGTGAGTATGTGACATGAGAGAATAACTCCAATATTGCTGATGAGGAGGAGGATGAAGAAGGATCTCTACATTTTGGCTTGAGATTGAAGCGTTTAAATACATCCATTGTCGTTCCCTGGAAATGGCATCCTTTGACTGAGGTCAACTGCAAACAGGAGATGAAGCGGACACGCCAGTCATTGACGGACGGTTTCGGCAAGACCCAGTAGTAGCGGTCTACAAAAGGCTCTTCTGTACTCGGTAGGTAGTTCACGACCCCCAGACCTGGGATTTGTATGATGAGATTGACCTGATTTTCTGCAGATCTCCATGGTTCTTGGTTAGAGCTGGTTAGAAGGAGAGACAAGACTTAACGTCGTAATCTTCAATCTCCCGAATCGGGACAGATCTGCCGTCCATATTCCCTGTCCAACGGGGATGATCGACAGTGGTGGATACCAGCCCCAGATTTCAGGGGTTACTACTCGGGAGGTAAAGGCGCGTGCAGGTTCATGGCCCAACGGCTCAGATGACGACACACCTCCAATGGGTACATGACGAGGCTGAGGCTTGTCAGAAATGCCCAGCCAGCCAGTTTCACGGAATTTTTGACCGAATACGAGGCGGGTGGCGTCTCGAGGTAGAAACGCCGAACGTGGCGATGCGTAGGAATTTTGAACTTCTGCCTGCTGAAAACCACCCGATTAGAGATGATGTTGAGGATCATCAGCTCCTGGCACATCTCGCCCACCTGTTTCGATTGAATATCGTCGACCGGGGTCGCTTCTTGGCAAGCTGGTGAGACACCGCCTTGTGGAGCTGATTTCAAAAGTCAAAAGTGATGGCAGCTCTCAAGTTACATTCAGGGCCGCGGTCGAGGTTCATGGTGAGAAACCATCGACAGGATAATCAGGGGATGCACATGGATTGAGACCATGCTCAAAATCGGGTTGAGAGTGATCAATTTCTCACAGCAGCTCACTTCTGGCGGTGGTTTCCAGTTGAGGAGTATCTATTACCTCAACGCCGGCGATCTTCTGTCGAAATGTGCAAGTGTCAGGCACCCCTCTAGCTTTCCTCTCAACTTCGACATCGAATTGACTAAAACATCGACCAAACCCGTCAGCGGCAGAATGGACAGGGGGGTGCAGCCTGCTGAAAGGCATTTGCCGATCAATGGCTTGCGGGTTAATGCTGCAGAGCGCGGGTGCTGACTGGTCCGAGGAGCTTCGTGACGTCTTGGGAGAAACAGATCAAGGCGTCGGAGGCGTCGGGTGGCTGCCATTTGAAGGACCAGTTGACAGCTGTTGATATGGGATTACCCCTGAGGCTGGTGAGAAAGAGAGACAAACATCCATCTGACAGCAGCAGGGACTGAGAGCAGGCTGAGAGAGGGAAAACCCTTCACTTCATGAATCAACTTGACGTTGTTGAGGATGAGCAGCGCCGCGAAACCCAATGCTGAGAAAGGTGAACTTGAAGTGCGAAAAAGTGGCGGGCGCTCTTTCCGCCGCCCTCACTGTTTTTCCACCGGGGCAGCGACTTCCCTCTGCGGCAGGCAACACAGCTGTCAACTCTTGCAGACTCACGACAGCTTCTTCACTCGCATGTGTGGCCTCAACCTTACCATGTGAGAGTCTGCATTCATTTTCCTCCGGTCCATCGCCCGCCAGCAGGACATTCACTTGCATCCAAATGGTTCCACCGTCTCTGTCGTTCTCGTTCGTGCCTCTG